TTAGACACCTCCATTATCACCTACAGTACCTGAGGCTGAAACAATACTTATAACTAGAAATTATATTTATATTTGATTAGTTGTGTTTAGAACTGGTTATTCAGTTCATAAGCAAACAATTTATATTTGATTTAATGTTAAGTTATACGGTATATAAGAATTACTGGAAGATCACTATATTGACCAGATACATTTTGATCCTTGTGTAAAAGTATTGAGTAACTAAGATTGTAGGGATTTCCCTTCCTTATTCAATATAGACATCTAATTTAAAATGGTTCAAACGCAAGTCTGTTTCAAATACTGTACAGTATATAAAACAGTCATTTCCTTACTACTTTTCATGTTGGAGTTCATTCATTCATAGAATTATCTAAGGTATAAATATGCATCTCTAAGATGTAACTCTAACCCACTATTTCACTACTCTTAACACCCTTCCACCATCCCAAGGGTCATCGACATCAGCCATGTTACACACTTTTGTTTTTCACAAGGGACTCCAACTTTATCTGTATGAATAGGCATACGCTACTCAATCTAAATGGGCTGACACAAAAAGACTAAATCATTTTCCTAATATTTGTTTCTTATACTGTATGTATAGTTTTCATTTGTAATACATAAGAACAGAAGAATAGTTAGACATAAAAGGAGGTCATTTGTTATACAGTATCTAGCCTGTTTGGTAGCTAATACTGTGGTTAACGGATCCAAGGATATCGTCCTGCCCTCTCTTTAAAGAAACTGGAAATTATCTTGCTTAAACAACAAGGTTGTTTAGCTTGTTCCAGATTCCCACAACCCTTTTGGTAAAGAAATTTGTTTACCTTTTGTTTTCGGTTTTAAATGCAGTATTTTACAACTGTAGGATATTCCTACAGTTTACATGATAAAAGCAAACCTGATTTTTTGTTTGGTTGCTCTTCCCTGGACAGACTCCAGTGCAGCAATACAGTATCTGCTGTCTGCTTGTAACAGTCTGTGAAATGTTTGTCCAATCTGCTTTTTTAAAAAAATAATTCCTTTAGAGCAGAAATTCCTTTGCAGTGTTTGCCAATCCTCCTATTTTGGTATTATCTGAGAACTTTACTACTTCACTAGCTATATCAGAATCTAGATAATTCTCATAAATTTGAAAGAGCTGTGGTCCTAACATTAATTATTGTGAAACTAACTACACAATCTGTACTCTGTTTTTTTTATGAAGCAGTTCTTAATCTAAAAACAACTGTTTCCTGGAATAACTTCAGATCAATTCAGTTTAAGCATTTACTGTATCTTGTACTGTGTGTGAACTTTAACAAAAGCCCTCTAAACAACTAAATACAACATATTCAATGTTCTGTTGGTATCCATTATTGCTTTTGATTATTCAAAGACCATGTTAGTTAAGGTAGGCCCCCCTATTTAAAGCATTCTTAACTATTCTCAAGAATCCTACTGTCATGCAGTAGTATAGTTTAACTTTACATATCGTTTCTGTAAACGTATATGTTATATCAGTCAGACTTGTTGGTCTACTGTATAATTACTGTGTTTGTTTTTATCATGTAAAGTAACTTATTGATGGGTACTACATTAACAATTTTCCATTGAATGAATGCTGTCTTGTGTGACTGTTGGAAGAGTTTTTATTACTTAGCTTTACTGTTTGCTGTTGCAGTACTATAACAGACACCAAAAAAGATTTCTCCTTTGCCAATGGGAGCAGGACCCAAAAAGTATATAGACTCCCCAAAGACCAATGAAAGAATTTCTCTGTCCAGTCATCAGGTTTCTCAACACAACTCTCAGCAATTCTCACTCTCTGGTTTGTGAGAATTAAAACACAATCCAAGCCTTGACTTCCAAAGGATTGGGACCAACCCATACTGACATACTGTAACTGCAATTCATGACCTGTAGATTTCCACCACAACATGGAAAAACCACAACAACATCAGCAACATTTTTTTATCCTGCAACTTCCAGAGTAATATTCAAAAACAAAGATTATGGCAACAATCTACTAAGAAATGCAGTTGAAACTGATATTTTGGTTTATTTCAGAAGCAGGAGATTAGTTTCTCAAATCCCTTACTGTAGCAACCAGCAACTGGACCAAATGACCACTTCTTGTTTGTAACATCACATACTGTATGTTATAATGGTCTTCTATTAAAAAATCTTTGTTGTAGCAATCTGCTCCCCCATTTCAAATATTTCATGGCTCATATAGACTAATGTAGACACAAAGCACTGGATGAATTTCAAAACAAAGGATATACAATGCCTTGCAAACGTATATTCAGACCCTTTTAGATTTTGTTGCTTTAAAGCTTATAATTATTACATTTGAAGTAGCAATTACTTTTTGTTACACACAACCTACCCCACACCATTCAAAGAAAAAAACAATAAGAAAGTAAATAATAATTTAAAAAGAGTATTTATACCTTTTATGCATAAATATTCATATATTTTGTTGTGGCAAAGGTAAATTAGTTTAGATGCAACAGTATCATGGCCATGCAATTAGTTGAGTAGTGAATTTTAGGCAAAAAAAATAAATATTCAACCATAAATGCCTTGGAGCTTTCAAAACAACTCAGGGATAAAGTTATATACAGTATGCAGATCAGTAAAGACCTTTTTTTTTCCTTTCAGCATGGAATAAACCTTTATCTGTTTTTATCAATTCCTACTGTCAACCAGGGAGGTTGCAGCATGAAGCTTTAGTTCTGCTTCTCATCAGCAGGGTCTGGAAGTTTATAAAGACTGAGGGGAATGTAGATGGCGCAAAGTAATGTACTGGAAAATTCTAGAGGAAAACCTGTTTCAGACCTATAACTGGGACAAGAATTCACCTTTCAGCGGAATAATGGTCCAAAGCACGGGGTCAAAACTACACTTAAAGTACACTTTAACCACTGGCTTAAAAATAAATGTCACTGTGTGGCCCAGTCAACGTTGTTGAGAACCTGTGGGAAGACTTGAAAACTGCTGTCGTTAAGTGATCCCCAGGCACTTTGAATAAGCTTGAGTAAATGTAATCAACATATTTCAGTTTTCTTTCTTTTTTGTTTTTCCTGCCATTAATTGTAACTTATCTTAAATGTATTACGTTTATGAATAAATATTTAGCTTAAAAAGTATATATGCATCATTTTCTAATTTCACAGAATGGTACACCATAGAAAGGGTCTAAATACTTTTGCAGTGCACCTTTAGCTGCAATAGTAGAATAGGCAATACTGGCTCTCATAATACTGTATTTTCAGCATAGAGATAATAATGAAATAGGCTACTAGTATGAACTGTTTTATACTACATATCTGTGTACACAGAAACATAAGATATACTGTAAGAATATTAGCTTTTTGTCTATAATATACCACTTTAGGAATTTATAATATCATGATCATTATCATTACACATTTATTAGGTGGCACATGTTCAGTCTATATGAATTGTATGTTTTGTTTCTGGTTATGAAACAGAGGTGCAGACCCATAGAGCATAGTAACTAAGAATCCCTAAGATTGTAAAGAACTTTTGAACTCCTTCTTTATTAGCAGAACATCACATGACAGATGAACAGTAACATCTTTGTTAAACTACTGTTAATCTGTACAGGGCAGTTTACCCTGTAAACTTATATCTTCAATGCATTTTTCTCACAAATACACAAATTCAAATTAAAAGTTTTGCACACTTACATAGTTAGAAAGTAAATTAACGCTGCCTTCCAGACCTTTTGAATCTTCTTGTCAGAAGTTTCTTAACAATTTGTACAGTATAGCCATTTTATGAAATGATACCTATCCTGAAATAAGACGAAATTCTTTGAATGTGTACTCTTTCCAGGATCCTGCTGTAGTTATTCTTAAATTCAATTTCCAGGTTGTCATTGAAAGAGGTACATGTTTTGAGCTTACTGATGCATTTTTGAGTTCAGTCATGTGCTATTTTAGGAATCAGCTAGTTTTCCTTTCATAAAGGGAAATGTTTGTCTGTTTGTTTCAGGTCAACCATGTGCTTAACTAATATATATTCTTTTGCTCCCACAATATATGCAAGACGTTTTGTGGTTTCTGCTCCCCAACATTAAATATTATGTTACAGTATATTTGTTTGGTGCAGAAGTTCTAATATCCTATCAGTTACCATATTTATTCAGATATGTTCTAAGTCTGTGTACTGCAGTACATCGTTTTGGATTGTATAATGAATTGGAGACAGTGAGAGATTTTACAATCGCCCTACTGTTTTTCATGGAGAAGATCTGTGCAGAGATGAACAATACAGTTCAATACAACAGTAACTCCCACAGATATTTTCCTACCATATGGTGATGAGGGAATTACTTTTTCTGTGTAGCACTTCAGGAAGTGTTAACCTCCAATGGTTTGTGTATTTCATCTGGGAATGATTTGAAGGTTTTGGTGTTTTTTTTTTGGTGGTTATGATTCTAATAATATATCCTTAACATGTACTGTAGTATCCTGCAAGTGATTAAGTCCTGTAATATGATTTATTGTTTTTTTAATATTACAAAATAATGTTTATGTATATTTTTAACGGTACTATTTCATTTAAAACTTGAATTCTTAAACTTTCCCTTTCTTATTTCTTTAGTGTAGCTTTGGCCTTGTCCTTTGAATCATACTCATGTTGAAAGATTTGAAGAAGGTTCTCCTCTAAGTTTTGCCCTTCAGTCTTAACAAGCTTCCCAGATCCTCCAGATGAGAAATAGAACTATAACATAATTGTGTTGATTATAAGTGTATGAGTATTGTGTTGTGTTTGCATTAAATCTAATGCTGTGCATTTAGATATAGAAACAACTTATACAATCAGATAATATCATTTTAGTTTTATATTTATTTAAAAGCAATTTTGTTGTACAGTTTTAAATTGAATTCAGATTACGGAGCAATCTGAAATTGGACAATAACACACCAATAACATTCATGTGAATAATAATTTTTCTAACTGGTGTCTATCCTAACTTTCAGAACTGAGGCCTTCACAGAAGCACGGGGAGCACGGCGAGGAGTGAAAAAAGTCATGGTGATAGTGACAGATGGTGAATCCCATGACAGCTATAACCTCCCTGGTGTCATTAAAGACTGTGAAAATGATGGAATTCAAAGGTTTTCAATAGCTGTAAGTCAAATGAGGCAAACATATTTTACATACATACTTTACATTCTCTTTGGTTTGTACAAATCAATTGTACAGTATGTCTAATGCTATTTACCAAGATAAAGGAACAGACAAACATTTCATTTCAATATTCTGTCAACCTAAGCATGTTATTGTAGACACTGCACATTTATGTTAATTATTGTCTTTATTTTCTGAAAAATTATTAAATGTTAAGCTTTCAAAATTCAATTGCTTTTATATAGCACCAGTGGTTGGGTTTTGAACAGTCTAGTAGTCGTACAGTATGTTGCATGTAAAATAATTGATTTTACTATGTTTTAGGTTCTTGGTAGTTACAGCAGACAAAATCAGAGCATTGATAAGTTTATTGCAGAAATTAAGTCAATAGCAAGTAAGCCTACCGAACAGCATTTCTTCAATGTCTCGGATGAAATCGCTTTGGTAACAATTGCTGATGCTCTTGGAGAAAGGATTTTTGCATTAGAAGGTAAGAAATGTATTTCAAATTTTCTTTTTTAAATGACTTACATAAATATCTTGTCAGTATTTTATGCTGAATTTAATGAAAGACCAAGTAACTGAAAGTGTTTTTGGGTGCTGATGTATACTGTAGTTTTAAATAACTGACATGTCATTTGTTATATAACTCAAGTCTATTTAGAGGCTCAAATATGTACAGTATAATGTGTATTCAAATATATATATAATTTGCATAATTTGCAACATGCAAACTAATGTAACACATGTATCATAGATTAATTTTTTATATGTACTACAGCAACATGGAATAATAAATGTAGTTTAGATTTGGGGTGTTTAGCTCTTGTTACTTGCTGTATGTATTAAATTAGATGTTAGTCTCTAAAAGCATATTTAAGCATGTATGAAATGGATAATTAGAGAGAGAAATAACTGCACTTAGCACTGATTGATCTTCCTAGGATTTAATCCTATTATCTAACTCTAAGTAAATGAAACATAGATAAATACATATTTTATTGAAGCAGGGAGAAACTTCTGATGCAGCTGTACACTGTTGCAGCTGTAAAGAAAATATTTTCTGTGAATGTTTACTCTCAAGTACTGTACATGTACAGTAGGTTAGCTCAGTGACCTTGCAACCAAATAAAAGTAACAATGGGATCTATTGAAAACAAACTAAGAATGTTATGTTATATGCTTTACTATTACATTGGAATTAAAATATTGCACTGTGAAAGTAGCATTCCCTGTTCAGGGAATACAACTTTCATTGTGTAATATTATTTTAATCTCAACTTCCAAAATGTTGCCCAGTACTACAAAAAGTTTTTTTTTCTTTGAGTTTTGGAGATCAGGCAAAACAGATGGTCTATTCAGGATTTTGACATCAGGCACTTGTTTGTAATTATCCCTCCATAATGGGAAAGCCACTTCTCTTGGTGAGGGTTGTGGCAAATCACAGTGATCCCAGAAACGTAGGGCACCAGACAGGACTGAGAGCATGTGACTGCTCTCCACCTGGATGAGACGCCAGTCCTTTGAATGTACTGTGTAATGTATGCTGTAAATATATATTTTAAAATTCTCTTTGATTCATTGAATTTGTTATTTTTTGTTAGCTACCTCTGATCAACAAGCAGCTTCATTTGAGATGGAAATGTCTCAAGCTGGATTCAGTGCTCATACTTCTAAAGTAAGTTTATTTTGCCTTTTTGAATGTACTTTATATACTGTATAATTCAGCGTTGATGTGTTGACCAGGAATAGAACTTGGGTCAACTATTTGGAAGGGAGCTACGCACACTACTATACTATCAACCTGTGAGTCAAACAGTAAAATTTCCAAAAAATCCCAACTAAGAAATTATCTTATTCTCTGTCTCCTGACAGTCTTATCTTCAGACAAACTGTAATGTAAATAAAAAGATGAAAGTGAAGAAGGAGTTGCATGATCTGATTAAAACATTTTAGTGAGTAATACTACTAACATAACACTAATTATGTTCAAATATGTTTCACAACTGATTTTTATTTTAACAATTTAGCTGATTTTTAAACTGGGGCTTTGTTTGAATTTTTTTCTAGCTCTAAATTTCTCTGTGTCACTTTTTCTAAGTTTATTTTTAGCTGCTTTCTTATCTGACATATTTAATTTTCCACTATGCCGCTACCATAATGACTCAATGAATTCTGTGATCAGCTTGCACATTGTTTCAAGATTCACCACATTTTCCAAAGAATCTAATGAATTGTTTAATTAACTGAAATACATTTTTTTCTCCCTTAAAGAGAATCAAGAACTAAGACTCACAGTATCCCATCAAATTATCTGATCTTTAGAATAACTAGCCCACTCTGGTCAGATTTAATCTGCTGTACTTTAGATTGATTTTAGATTCTCTGTATTTCTAAACAGAAAAAGATCAGTGAGGGGGAGCAGAATATCTGAGAAAGATACTTTCAGAGGAAGCAGAAAGAGGTGTCAGGAGAGATAAGGTTGTCAATGTACTGTAGATAGAGAGTAGACCTCACTGGGAGACCTGGTGTGATCAGCACGGTAAAAGAAGAACCAGGTAAGTGCAGTGTCAGAAGGCATAATACCTTTTTAGGTTTAGTTCTCTTTCAGGTAAGAAGTCCATCCTAAAAAAAAAAGACTGTTATGTGATCTATCTGAGACACTGAATAATGAGTGATTTCACTTCTTACCCAAAAGGTAGTGAGACCGTGTAAGAAGCTACCCAGCCAATGAAGTCGATATTGTGAAATGGTTAATAAAATCCTTTGGTACAACAACCACCACAACACTGACATGTTGATCAGAACAATGTCCACTTGTTTGTAACTTTTCTCATATTCTGTTCTTATATTCATATGAAATTACAAAATGTACATGACTATTTTAGACATTCAGAACTGTAAAATGCTAGGCTGCTTCGCAAAAATCTGCGCAAAAACTCTTTCTAAATCCATTTTTTTATCTATAACATACAAAATCTTATCCATGGGCCAATCAATCAGTCATTCAGTCCAATCTCTTTTTGATGCACTCCATCTCAAAGGTTCACATGGCCAGTTGGAAGCCTCAGCTTTCTTGTTTTAACATCACCCAGCCACCAAGCTGTGTACATGGTCTATTGTCTTAAAATAATTTCCTTGGTGCCAGTAGATTTGCCATGCAAGGGACAGCATTTTGTAACTTTTTGAAGGATCCCAATGAATCACCTTCTACACCTTTGTTAAAAAAGGGTTTCAGTCCTAAACAAACCATTATACTCAGTTAGAATAAAACATCCCTTCATTTGGTTTTAATGCTTTTAACACTGTGTTTACATTTGTTAAGCTGTTATCCTTATGTGTCTGTTAAGACAGATAGATGGGTGGACAAACAACTTAACTCTTTTCCATTTTCTGTTCTTATAAAGGAAGGAGTCATGCTTGGAGCAGTTGGAGCTTATGACTGGAACGGAACTGTGGTCATGCAAAGTGGAGAGAATTTTATTATTCCAGACAAAACAACATTTCATAATCCCTTTGTTGATAAGTATGAAGGCTTAGCTGGCTATGTTGGTAAGTTCAAAAGAAGTACTTAATTAATACTGGAAACAGTTTCTGATTAAGTGCAATAGTATTAATCCAATTTGATTAACTTAATTTAATAAAACTAATCTATGAAGTCAATTTTGGGACCCTGAAATGTTTTTACATGGCACTGCTTGCCAGCCTGGGTCTCATTGCCTTTTAAGGTTTGTAATTATTATACAAAGAGGCAGGGAGTGCAACCGGGAATGTCTGACGTAAGTTAATAATAGCAAGATGTGGAAGATATGCTTGAATGTCTGGGTGAATTCTTATATTTGCTCCTTTAGCATCAGAGATGTAAACTAAATAATTGGCTGACTTTCAATAGACTAAACAATCCTCCTAACCCATAGCAACAAACTACAAATATTTCCTCTATAAAAAGTGGACACACTAACATTTTAGTTCTGCTAAAAAAAAATCTTCATATTTGTATTAGTTTTAAAAGATTTGAAGATGTTCTCAGCTGCAGAGTTTCGATATCTCCAATAAAAGAAGTGCTTATGTTTGGATAGTTTTAGCCTGAGGACATGATGAAAAATAAAAATTTGGATTGTCTTTTATTATAACAAAAATGTGTTGTGCTTGAGAGATGCCCAAACCCACTGACATACTTCTCTGATGTTGCTGATGTTATAAATTTGTTCAGTGTTTGACATACATATTCAATACTGGTAAACCAAAAATAAGAACTTCCATTATTTTGACTAACAAATGCTTACAGTATAAAACATGAATTGCAACGGATGCCAGTACACTCTCTATGTTTGCACTCAAATACTCTCTTGTTGATCAGAGATTTTGCTGAAAATTGCAAGTTTTTATCAAACCACTCTAACAGGACCTGTTAACCTGTTTCAGTGACATAATCCTTTAGAGTTTGAAAGTGTTTTCAGACTTGCCTGGTCAAATGATCACTCTTCGAATGGATTCAGTATTTTGTACAGTACATCACACGTTGAGTACTGGGAGAAAGACAGCAGAACAAATTACAGCCTGGGACAAAATATACATAGAGTACGTGACACTACAGTTATATTAAATGCTAAATTTTTAGTGCTTTTTATGTACTTTAATATAACCTACATTGCATTCAGTGAATTTCCACTCTTGTCCGGGGAAGAGACACTCACTGAAATCCAAGAAATACAATTTGCATATCTGTCATACACCGACATCCTATCTCTAGATGACTTGAAAACATGACAGCTTGTGTGTTTTCTTATATCAATAGGGAGTACGATGCAAGTAACATTAAATGAACTTAGTATAGTCTAGGAGTTTTATTAATTTACTTGGACAATTTACTAATTGTAACAGTTGTATTGTGCTCTCACGAGGCACCAGTTCTGTAGAGGTTTGGGCATTTACTGGGACAATTATTAATTGTAGCAGTAAGTCACAAAATTATTCTTTTAATGGCCTTAGAATCCAACCATGCAGTATAACTCAAACAACGCACACACACAGGTACTAATACACAAGAATACATTGAATATGCATGTAAACCTAACAGATCTTATCGTGAGGGTTATCAGAATACAAAAGATATACTGTATATTCATTCAGTTACAAAAACAGATAGGCGCCAATGGATGACCATTGATCATGATAGCCAGGCTTAGCTAAGTGCATCCCCATTTGGGAGCTGTCCCTTATCAAAAGAAAACATCTTTAAATCAGCCTGCATGAATAGTTTCTCTGTGGCTGCACCACAGAGATGAAGAGAGAGATGGGGCCTCATTTGGGAAAGCACAGCAACACTTAACACTTAATTTAACACTTAATTCTGTCTTATTAACAAGCATTGCCGCTACACAGTAATTCACGTGGTGGTTCTTTGGCTATTAGGATTCAATCATCAGAATAATCCTACACGGGTTCAAATACACTAAATACATTTATTAATACATAAGATTGTGCATATAAAAACATATGACACTCCATGTGGATACAGATGGCAGATCTTATTGTAAGGGTTACCAAGATACAGAATACATCACAATCAGGAAGAGATACAAGACAAGGAATATGCATTTAGTATACCATTCGGGTATACTATCTTGTTAATCAGTCTCATTAATACAGATTCTACATTAGATACTCATAGGTAAATACAGGAGGAACAGCTGACAGGCTCTGTCGAAGCGGTCTCCTGGCTCAGTGACCCACCAGTCCTGGTGTGGCTCGGAGTTGTGGGGAGAAGGAGAGAGAGTGTTCTTCTGTCAGCTTCGCGCTGGACCGTTGTTGCTCTCCAGGAACCTGCTAGTTAGTGTTGAGCTGGACTAGTGGAAGTCTGTTCACAGAGGTCACTGCATGGTCAGAGCAAGTCACTCTTTAGGGGGAGAAACTTGGTTGCTCCTGGCATAGCAGCTACTTCTGAATAAAAGTGTTCAGCTGTTGACAAAAGTCCAATCATATTACTCCGGTGATCAGGCGGGTACAATGATGGTTGCTAGCAGTTCACAAAGTCTTGCTGCAGGCTTGACCTTGGGCAGAATTCTGTCTTTACATATGGGTTCTCTCTGGCTCGGCACTTGGGAAAATGTTACAAGTCCTAACACTCAGACAACAGCACTGGCAGTCACGTGATTGTCAGACAGCCAAGTTGCTCAAGCAAATCTGAAGGAGCGCGAGAGTGAACAAAGGAGCAATCTCAGAGCTCTGTGCAATGCCTTTTAACTGGAGGACATAAGGTTGGTGATTGGTCAAGAGATTGCTGGACAGTTGGGGTCCCCATACCCTGCAGGTTTCTGATTGGTTGGTCACCTTTAGGAATGATTGACCATGACCTCTGACTCTTGTACCACAATCTGGATGTGCTTAGGGTCTCACTAGACAACCAGGCACCAAGAGTGGGCATCTATCATGATAGCTGATTGCATCCCGGTCCTGGGAACTGTTCCTTATCAGGAAGACAAACATCCTTAAATCAGTGCATAAGCATAAATAACTCCTCTGTGGCTTGGAACACAGATATGAGAGACATGGGCCTCACTGGGAAAAGCACAGCAACACATAATTCGGTCTTATTAATAAGCATTGCTGTGACAATAGCAAATTAAACATCAGTACTGCTTAGAATTTGGTTCAGTATTTTAGTATCATGAACAATAATTAAAATAACTGGATGGTATCTTTTAGGTTATGATGTTGAGTCAGCATCCACAGCTGATGGTGTGCTGTACATTGCTGGAGCACCTCGGTACAACCATACAGGAAGAGTCGTCGTCTACACCCTCAATGGAACTACAGTTAATGTCAAACAGATATTAAAGGGAGAACAGGTACTTGAAATATTGCATAAATGCAATTATGCCTACAACATTTACACATGTTTTGAAGAAGCCCTTTAATAAAACAGCTTGGATCCTAACTTGTCCTCAAAGTAGGAACCAATACTGATTGCTTATCTGTTGTATTAACTTGGTACTTTTCATTTCTTCATTTTAAGATTGGTTCATACTTTGGAAGTGTACTAACAACTGTTGACATTAACAACGATTCATTCACTGACATCCTGCTTGTTGGGGCACCAATGTATATGGGAAATGAAAGAGAAGAGCAAGGTCAAGTATATATCTACAAGCTAAATAAGGTAAGATGAAGCTGTTACATTACAGAGTTTGGTGCTAGGAGTAACCAAAAGAGAATAGGTGGTGACCTTAGCATCCTTGTTAAATTCCACTCTAGAATTACACAATCTGGCCTACATGAAGTTTCCCCTTAATTCAACTGGTGAAGCAATGTATCATATCTCTACCTCATCTGTTACTGTATGTGTTAGGGTTGCCAGCACCTAATAACTGTGAAACCTCACCTATTTGAATGTTTCACTCCAGTGGTGGATGAAGATGGTCCCCTACTATATTCAAGGCTCTTTGGGTTTCTCTGGATTGAAAAGTACTATTTAAGTTTAACCAATTAATGTAGTCACTCACACTGAAATGCTATATTACTATAGAATGGACCACAACACTAGATTTTCTGTTTCTAGTAATGCATGTTCTGTTTCTAGTTGCATTGTAAGCTAAATATTTTAGAAAGCAAAACTTCACAGTGCAATAGTTCCTATATCATAAAATGTGGTTTAATCTCATTAAACTGCCCGGGCCCTCACCTGTCCTCATGGTAAGAACCAATACTGATTACTTATGTTTCTATATGTATATCTATTACACAAACTTGGTACTTTTCATTTCCTCATTTTTAGATTGGTTTATGCTTGGGAAGTGTACTAATTACTGTTGAAACAATGATTCATTCACTGACATCCTTGTATGGATAAGTTATATAGATATTGACTGCCTCTGCTACTGCAACAGGGTGCATTTGAACACCAGATGACATTGAAGCCTGTCAAACAGATGTGTTGCAATGCTCATTCAGCCAGCTCCTGCAAAATCGTCAAAAAGAACGAACCGTGTGGATCTCGGTTTGGAACAGCTATAGCCGCAGTAACCGACCTCAATCTGGATGGCTTTAATGATGTAGTGATTGGAGCCCCTTTAGAAGATGACCATCGAGGAGCAGTTTATGTATACCATGGATCGGGGAATTCCATACGTGAGAAGTATGTGCAGGTAAATACTTTCAAAAAGATCTTCCGTGAGCAGGCATTTTGAAACAAGAGGTCAGCTCTTAACAGATACAAAATATGGTTTATGGCCTTCTCTTAGTAGTAGTCTCTCAAAAACCCATAAGTGAACTTAAAGGTGTAGCTACAGGAACAATACAGTTTACAGAATATAAAAAAGGACATTGTGATTTTTTAACTTTATACTGCAAGGAAATGCTCATTTGGCAATCGGTTGTATTAGAGAATTGCTTCAGGTGGAGATGGTGAGAAGATGAAATTCTTTGGACAGTCGATTCATGGAGTACTGGACTTAAATGGAGATGGAATCACTGATGTCACAATTGGAGGTCTGGGAGGTGCCTCTCTTTTCTGGTGAGTATTAATATTTGGCTTCTTCCTTCTAATAATAAAAAAATAATTTCTTACACTTACATAATGTTTTTCTGGACACTCCACTCAATGCATTTTACAAGTAATGGGGACTACCCTCCACACCACCAATGTGCAGCACCCACCTGGATAATGAGATGGCAGGCAAAGTGCACCAGTGCACTCACCACACGTCACCTATCAGAGAGAACAGAGTGATGAAGCCAATACATACTGTACATGGCGATAGTTACAGTAAGAGGTCACGTATGATAAAGGCCAGGGACAAGTTAGATCAGGACATAGGGGTATCACTCCTACATTTGTCGAGAAATGCCCAGGGATTTTTAATGACCACAGAGAGTCAGGACCTTGGCTTTACATCTCATCCAAGGCACAGTGCCATTTTTTGCAATATAGTTCCTGCTTCTAGTTGTAAAGACAGGATATTCAATGGGGTTTTATATGGTAGTTGCAATGATTTGTTTTCTTTCTCCTACGTTCTTTAAGGTTTAAAATCTGTCATCAGATTACATTTTAAAATGTTTTTACAATTATTGACTTTAGTAAACCATAATGGCAGGGGATCATTTAATGTAACACAATTCACTCTAGCCTAAATACCTTGTAATGTATTGATCCAAGATAGATTGGTCTCATAGTTAGATCTAGTTGCAGATATGATTTTGTGAAATATATCCAGCAAGAGAGATATGATATAATGGTAGTCTAAGAATTACATTCTAAGAACATAGTGATCTGTAACTGAGAAAATAATTACTAGATATCACAATGTATGCAATATATGCAATGTATGCAATATATTGGGTCTTTTTCCTGTTTTATTTTTACTTGGGTATCATACTGACTGTGCTTCCATCTCATCTGAGGAAGTTTATAAGAGATAAGTTTTGGCTTCAGAGTGTCCTTTAAAAATGAGGTAAATATTATATTGCAGTGATAAGAAAAACCCTAGGAAAAAAGTTTAGAGTTATTAAACTATATCAAACAATGTTCTGAAAATGATTGACATTAAATTAATACAAGTGCACAGTATTTTATGTAGAAAAGGAAACAGTAGTAAGTGGTATTATAAGATGGGGAAAGTGAGCTTGAAAATGTTGCTCATGAAAAGGATTTAGGTACTGTCTTTATGCAGACTCTTCAAATGTCCTCCACTAAACATTGTTGAAAATCAATAAGAGTGACAAGATTGTAATATACATAATTATTAAACTTAACATGAATGGAGGTTACATAAAAAGTGAAACATTTACATATTATGTACAATTCTGATTGTCACGTTGCAAATTAAGAACATTAAATAATAATAATTTATATAGTGCTTTTCTGGTCACTCCACTCAGAGCGCTTTACAGGTAATGAGGACTCCCCTCCACCACCACCAATGTGCAACATCCACCTGGATGCTCACCACACATCAGTGGGGAGGAGAAGAGTGGCCTCCTACTGGCCCCACTAACACCTCTTCCAGTAGCAACCCTAGCTTTCCCAGGAGAACTCCCATCCAGGTACTAGCCAGGCTCACACCTGCTTAAGTTCAGTGGGTTGCCAGTTGTAAGTTGAAGGGTGATATAGCTGCTGACTATAATTAATTTATGCTCTGGAATCTGTTCAAAGAACAGCCATCAGTTTCCATGCCTAAAGAAACAGACAGGTTTAAGTACAAATATTTCAATTTCATACATTGGGTTACACTATTTAATTAAAAGTACTACAAAACATATACGCAGTATTTTAAGTCCATAGTCACATGAGGCACAGCTTTGCAAACCTCAATAGATTTCATGGGTTGTTGCTGTAGGTGCAGACTTAAACTCTCAGATTTCTGCTATTCAGTTGCTGATCTTAAAAATGAACAAAGAGATTATTTGATCAACAAAGGGAACAGAATAGGTATTGAATATGCATGAAGTTGGAGAGTTCTGAGGGTGGTATTCATTCAGGGAAATGTATGTGTTTGGATTAGAAATTGGTTATTAAATAGAAAACAGACGGTAAAGATAAATAAATACATTGGGGTTATGTATTGAGATGATATGGAGTACCACAGGATTCTGTACTAGGGACCCTGCTCTTGTTCATTTATATCAATGATCTGTATTCCAGTATAGTTACAGTACTAAACTTGCCAAGCTTGCAGGTCATATTAAATTAAGATGATTATCAACAACTAATTATCAAATTAGATTCAAAGTAATTTAGATAAAATTTAAGACTGGAAGATACCTGTCAGATAATGTTTAATGTAGAGAAGTGCAGGTTTTCAAATGCAGGTAGTAAAAACATTATGGCATGCCACTTATGAAAAAGTCTTAGATTTTTTGTTGACACATTATTTACATAATGTAAGCAACTAAAAAGGCAAATAAAATGGTATGATATATACCTAAAAGTGTAAAATTTAAATCAAGAGATGTTATGTTCAAATGGTACAGTACAGTATATTTCACTAGTAAGGCCTAATTTAGAATATTGTGAACAATCTTGGTAATCACATTTTAGTAAAGATATTGTTGCTCTTGAGTCAGTCCAGAGACGATCAATCATAAGTATCCTGGCACTTAAGGAAATGTCCAGTACTGAAAAAACTGAACATTTTTAGGCTTCCAATGAGAAGACATGGAAGGTACCTGATACATGTATTCAAAATCCTCAATGGCGTCAACAAGATTTGCTCAGAATGTTATGTGAAACACAAACCAGAAGGCACAATTGGAAACTTAATGGAAGTTCATTTTAAAGGCAAGAATAAGAGATACTTCTTTACCCAAAAGGTTGTGGAAGTATGAACAAGCTACCCAGTCATGTTGTTGAAGCCAATGTCATTGTGTCTTTCAAGAAATTGCTGGATTAGATCCAGGACTTACTACTGGACTAACTACTAACAAACATGAGTGGTGTATTGGAATTACAATACCTTGAAAAATGTGTTGCTGGCTGGAGCTGGGGTTAGGGTTAGATTTAACTACAGACAGAAGTCAACATCTATTCTATCTCTGTTTTAATTACTTTATTCCAGCAGCAATTCCTTTATAGCCAGCAGACATAGCACACTGCAACTCACAACTGGCAACCGACTGAAGCAGGTGTGAGCCTGATCGGTACTCGCATGGGAGACCTCATGGGAAAAACCAAGGTTGCTGCTGGAAGTGATGTTAGTGGGCCTGTAGGGCACACTTACCCTGCAGTCTGTGTGGATCCTAATCCCCCAGTATAGTGACGGGGACGCTATACTGTAAAAAAGCACCGTCCTTCAGATGACACGCAAAACTGAGATCCTTACTCTCTGTGGTCATTACAAATCCCAGGGTATTTCCCCCAAAAAGTAGGGGTGTTACCCCTTTATCCTGGCCAAATTTCCCATTGGGCTTTACCAATTATGGCCTCCTAATAATCCCCATCTATAAATTGGCACTCTGTTCTCGTCTCTACCGTTAGTTGATGTGTGGTGAGCGTACTGATACACTATGGCTGCTGTCACATCATCCAGGTGAGAGTTATACTGTACATTGGTGGTGGTGAAGGGAAGTCCCCATTGCCTGTTAAGCACTTTTAGTGGACTGTCTAAGTGCATGGAATTAATTATTGTTGTTGTTGTTGTTGTTGTTGTTGTTGTTGTTGTTGTTGTTGTTGTTGTTGTTCAAGTAATGGATGACCTTTCAACTATTTTTGAGGACCCAAACAATTTTAGTTATCTCTAAAAAATTGGGGTTATAAAAATCAAATATCAGACCTGTGTTCTTTAAAACCAACATACCGTATACAATATTAACTAAGAAAAACATTCAAAATCAATTTTTGCACATTTTATGTTTGCAGTTTTATAGTTTTTTTTTTTTGCATTTTTACGGACCTTGTACAATTTTCACTTTACACACAATTCACAATCATTATTTTACTTTCTTAGTTTAGATAGGTTGGATAATCGGATTAATCCTCTCATATTTTGAAGGAAAATCTGTTGTTTACACTTTGTAATCAGTATCTGTACATCATAACAGGAAGAAAAGATGGGTGGTGCATGCAACCCTAGTACTGGTGTTTAGTAAACAATTTTACTACACTTTTCCAAACATTTTCTGAGTTTATTTAAGTAAAATATTGCTTTGTAATGCAAATCTGAATTAATAGGATTAATCAGTTTTGTTTTATGTTCCATTAAAGTCATACAAGTAATGTTACAAATATCTTAAAAGCATATCTGTGAAGATTAAACCGTTTTCTTTATTTTATTGTTTTGTTTTGTTTTGTTTTGTTTTGTTTTGTTTTTGTTTTCCAACCAGGTCTCGTGATGTAGCAGAACTAAGGGCAAATATGTCTTTTAACCCAGACAAAATAAATGTACAGCAAACACAATGTAAAGTTAATGAAAGGAATACAGTTTGTGTTCAGACCACTGTCTGCTTTAATTACACCCTAAAACCGGATCAGAATACACAGTCCTCCATTGGTAAGATTATTGTTGCAATTCCTAACAATAACCATTGGTTGACCAGTGTTTATTGTAAAATAACTTATGCATATAAAACCATTACAGTGCTGTTTTTTTAACCTCACAAAAACAGCATTACATTTCCTTTCACTTAGTCAAGTAATGACTTTGAGCTCAGTGTCTTGGAAGGGCTAAGTTCCTATAATTAAAGATTTTGTCACTGGAGCTTGTACAGTAAGGATGTAGAGAATGCTTCTGTTTTTCCATAAGCATTAGTCTGAAAAATGTATTATATAAAATATATACTGTATATATATATTATATATAATAATAATACACTCAGTTCAGTACAGTGTTATAAATAAGAGTAACTAGTGTCAAAATAAACTTTATAAATATAAATATTGTCTCCTAAAAACAGTTTCATTTACTTGGTTTTCATTCTCTTAATATATGGTTGTCATTTTTTCAGATTTCAACTACAGTCTAACCCTAGACTTCCAAAGGCTGGTATCAAGAGCATTGTTTCTTAACTCAACTGACAGGAAGCTTCAGATGAAGGTTACAATCCATGATAAGATGTGCAGAGTTCATACCTTCTACATGTTGGCAAGTAAATCATTCTTCATTTCCTTTAGATAGTGGGCTAGGAGTACCACAGTGCTTTTATGCTTAATTCCATTCTTCTGCTATAAACTGTACTGTATGTAGAGTATTGCTCACAAACTAGATTACATATTTCAAAATGTAAAATGCTCCCTTTATCCTCCCAGCAATTCCTTTGATATAGATATAAAATGTTCTCATAGGAAGCTATAACATTGCATAAACAGTCTTCAGGCTGAGTGGTCTGTGATGACATTTTGGGGTGATTATTTGTGTGTTTTTTGCAGCAGGGGATGGAAACATTTGGAAAGCATGTGGCAGCTGGATAGTCCTGTACTCCCCTTGAGATACAAACTTGTTTTATTTCACAGGCTTGGTAAACTCACTTTCATGTAGTCCCCATGTGGTCATCCTGTCAGCAAGGGTCACTGCCTGTTGTACAAGTTTAGCAACATGGTCTAGAGAAATCAGGGATTTAGAAGCCATTCTCCCTTGTGAATATGTCATCTTTTTGTCTTTGTGTCCACAAACGTTGTTAGTTCATTTACTAGACCAAAAACTGTCTATTGAGTCTAGCCTACTGTATGCTGACAATGTCATTTAATGGGCTACGACAGCAGGTGTAAAACATAGGTGGGTCCTGCCCCATGGTCCTGTGTGGTTTCCATGGTTTCAAATAATGTCTATTTTATTACACCTTGCAAAAAATGCAAAGGACATAATGTACAGTTCCTTTGTGTTCCCTTTATCCCTTTGTGTAACCATGTTTTGTGCTTACATTCATACTGATTAATTTAATCTACAGGTTATTATTGTATTTTCATTTGTATTGTAAAAATATGAGTTATGAAAATCACATAATGGGCATATTTCAATACAATGGCTAATTTCAAGTTTTCAGTTTTTGAGAGAGGAAATATATTTTAATAGGAAGCAGAAAACAGAACCATTTCAAAGAGTTTAAATTCCTCAAAATTGCTCATCTGCAAGGAAGTTAGGCTGCTTTATGCTTTCCAGAGTTAATATTCCACACATAAGGAAACAGTCTGTAGTTGGGCAGGACAGCTGTACTGTGTGATTACTAACATGTGCTGTCCAGATAACATGTTGTACTTCTTAAATCTATTGTACAGGCACATATTGTAAGTAAAGTTACAAAAGGGTAAGGCTTAGAAACGTAATACTTTCCTCCCCTTCTAAGTAAGGGTGATTTTACACCCAAAGCAAAAAACAAAATTCTTCCACACCAGTAATAGAAAACTTGGTGAAATACTACTGAAACAAAGAAAATAAAAAGGCCACCAGGTCCACTGTGCTCTTCAATAGTAAACTCTTTAAATCAATTGTTATTCACAATTAATCACTGTTTAGTAAAATAATGTTACTATGTGGAATATGACACATACAAGAAATGTCTATGCAAAAAATTGAAAATTAAGTATCTTTATGTAATTACATTTTAACTCAAAACATAATATGAATAACTGTCCATGACGCCAGCTTATTCGCATCCATTTTCCTAGATAGTATGACATCTTAAACAAATGCAGGGAAAAAACTAAATCTCTTGGGCCTCAGAAGTACTGAATGATTGAACGCTGTAAACCAGAACTGTTTCAATTGTAAGGATGTTTTTCTTTTTTGTTAAACTTTTTTTTGGTTTCTTCTAGGACAAACCTGACTTTAAAGATCCCGTGAAAGTTTCACTAGAATTTGGTTTATCTGATGACACAAAGGGCCCTGTCCTAGATGGTGACCTTCCAACTTCATTAAATAAGTCTGTAAGTTTCTCAATTGAAAGCTGATTTGACTATGCCATTTTGGGAATACTAATTTCCACATAATGCAATGGTTACAGTATATACAGTATATATTATTCATGGTTTATTCCATGCTGAAAAGAAAAGAAAGGAAACACAATTTCCATTGTTTTGGCTGTGGAACCTTCTTCAGGTGTAAGACGAAACATTGTGTTTCTTTACTTTTCTTTTCCCCATTACCTGTTCCTTTGCAGCCTATGCATGCTGATGCAGCTACCTACAGTACTTGAACTATACATTATTAAGTTTGCTTATTGTGGCTTTTTAGTTTCCTTTGAACTTTACTTAAAACAACATTCTGTCCTACATATAATTCTGGTTTTATTAATAAATACATAAATGCTTAAGTAGCACAATTTGAGTATCTAGATTCCCTGCAAGATTTCCTTCACTCAAGAATGTCTGGCTACTAATTTTTCCTGTAATTCTTCTAAGATCTTTGTTACCTTGATTTCTCGCCCCCCTTTGTGGAAGGGTTTTTAAAACCTTCAAGTAGACGTCTGATTTGCTGTCTTTTTTTCTGAGCTCGTTTTTTTTTCCATACTGCACAAGATTGTTTATCTTGTCAACATTCAAAGGGGCCCGAAAATGGAAAAAGAGTAAAAGGAGTGTTCACATTGCATTATTGTAGATTTGATGTAAAATGGCTACAAAATTTGTTTACCATCCTTAGACTTCATAATGTATTTAACTGGGATTTTTTGCCATCGATCGACACAAAACCCTCAATAAGGTCAAAGTGAAAATTACATTTTCAGTTTAACATTTTACAAATCCTAAATTAATTATACATATAAAAAAGTAAAAACTGATTGCATAGGAATTCACCTTTTCGATATGACACACCTAAATAGTCTCCCGTGCAACCTATTGTCTTTAGAATATAAATACTTGAATGGAGTCGATCTGTGTATAGCTAAGGTGTTTCACATGAGTTCAGGTTAAATATATCTATTTCTGAGAGTTGATTAGTACAATCCCAACAAAACGTACATCATGCAGATGAAGGAATATTCAAACCAAATATAGATAAGGTTATTGAAAAACACCAATCAGGGGAAGGGTATAAGAAATTTCAGTAACAGTAAGGTCCATTATAAAGAAATTGAGAACTATAGCACAACTGTGAATCTGTGCAGAACAAGACATCCTCAAAAACTAGAGAGAAGTGCCCATGCTGACTTTAAAGGCATTACAGTCTTTAATGGCTGAGATGGGAGAAACTGTGCATATGGCAACAATTGCCAGGATACTTCACAAATCTGGGCTTGAAAATGGGAGAGTTTAAAAATGGAAGCCATTGTTGAAAAAACCTCCCATGAAATTTCTAGTACGGTTTGCCAGAGAGCATGTGGAAGACCCTGATACCAAGTGGAAGAAGATTCTATGGTCTGCTGAGGCCAAAATTACCTTTTTGGCCTCAATGTTTAGCGCACTGTTTGGCACAAGCATAACACCACACATGATACTAAGAACACCATCCCTACTATGATGAATGGTGGTGGCAGCAACATGTTAAAAAACAGAAAATAAATCAGTAATCTGTAGTGACCCGACAATTGTCAGGCAGCTGTTGAAACCTGCCGTTCACCAATGGTCCACATCCAACTTGAGCAGCCTGATCAATTTTGCAAAGAAGAATAAGCAGAAATTGCAGTGTCCAAGACTTATCCCAAAAGACTTGTGTGTTATGCATGTCATTTCACAGAGAGGTTGTGTAAAGGACCCTGTGAAGAGTCTAAAAAAAACAAAAGGGTCAAGAATACTTATCTATGTAGCAGATCCGAAGGTTGGAGGTGCCAAAAAACGCTAATGCAAGAACATAGTTAGATGAGACGTTTTAGTCTTGAAACCGGGGATGAACAGAATACTGTAGGCAAAGACGAAGGGAAGGCTCTTAGTGGCGTAAACCAAATACTGAGCGGTGAGGATACTGTGAAAAGTCCTTAAGTATGATAGTACTGCAGGGTTATGGTAGTGATATGGCAAGATGGTAGGATAAATAATTCTGAGGTCGCCACCTATGCAAATTGGCTGAGGTAAAGGCCTGTCTGTGCTGAGGTTTGCGGTGGTGGGGAGCTGGAGCCGTGACACCACGGCTGTAATTTCTGCCATACAGTATGTGCCTCTAACAAATATTGACTTAAGGCGATGAATACTTCCGAAATCAGTTATTTTCTGATTTTATAAATAATTTAAAATTAATTAAGGATGACGTGTCAAATTTTGTTGTCACTTGGAAGTTGGGGAGTGTTTTTGTATCAATCAAAGGCAAAAAACTCAATTAAATACATTATGATTCCATATTCCAACACAATAAAATGTGAAAAAGTCCGGGGGGGAGGGGGGGGGGGATAATTTTGATTGCCAAAATTATCAAACACATTAAGATTACATCATAGCAAAATGTTGGACCAAAGAACAAAGGACTGGAGTAAAGAACTTGCCTAATCATCTGTGTGATCACTTCAGAATAAAAAAACAATGAAAGGAAAAAATAAAACTAAAAATTATGATATCACTGAATGTCTTTTTTTAGATACTTTTCACAATGGACTGTGGAAAAAATGAAAAATGCATTACAGATTTACAGCTACATTCAGAAGCTGATATAAAAGGAGACAGGTATGTATACATTTCATAAATTAAAAACAGGGTGAGGAGCTCATAAAAGTCTAGACTTTAAAATACTTTCAATAGTTTTAGGCAAACTTGGAATTAAGGAGTTTAGCGTGTGAGGATTTTAAGATAGACATTTCACTTCAACCAATTCTGCAACTGTCTGGCTGAAGAAGCATTATCCTAGCCATAAGGAAAAGGCCACCAGAACCTAACACCAACTAGGAGGTGCTTCCAAAGTGATTATAAGGTGGAGGGATGAGTTAAACATGCAATGAGGTAAATATTGGGAAGACAGTATTTATACTAAACTGATTATAGAGAACAGCTACTACTTCAGTAACAAACTATTAATTAAAGGCCCCTTTTAAGTAGTCTGTAAGGAAAGAAAAACACATTCAATATCTACTGTTTGTACTGTTTTAATATTTTAAGCTACATGAATCTCTTAGAAATAATTTCACAGCAGTCTTTACAGCTGAGTGTTTCCAACCTTCATGTTTTAAATGGGGCACACCGGTTCACCAACACTGTATCTAGAATCTAAATTATCTTAACGCCACCTAGTGGACCTTACAGTGCTACTTTCTTATTGAGTTACAATATTCATGTATTTTTTATCCATTTTTGCTGTGCCCATAAGTATTTTTTACTTTTTACTCCTGATCACTTTTGAAATTGCTTTTCATTAAGAATAAGTAGTCAACAAATGTCACAGTATGCAGTATGCCATAATATGGGACAGGCAAACTGTTATTCTTTTGACAAAATGTAACCATGATGCTGGCCTGACCCATGTATTTAATAAAACTATAAAACCTTACTTCTGCAATACTAATGAAATTGAAACTTTGAAGATTTTAATCGGAAGTCAAAGGTTTGAAAAGTTTGCACTAAAGAAATTACAAACTTTTTTGTACCAACAAGTTGTAGAACATTTTAATACATGCAGCCCATCACACAAAGAAGTTGCTAAAATTCTCAATTTAATTCCAAACTTTATAGGTATACTTCCATTATTTACATAATGGAATGAAAGTTTCCTGCATAAACCACGATAACTGCTTGGCATCTGTTGTAAATATGAGACCCATAACACTGACTCTCATTGTATAAATTGTATTATACATTATAAACAACTAAATAGTTTTTTAAACATATTTATGGAAGTCCAACATTTTAGCTGGAACCATTATGATGCAAAAAATGGAAAACATACAATTTTGAAATATTTAGTGCCATTAAAATATTGGTAAATAGTTCCAATGGGGAAAGATTAGAAAGGTCAGAAATAAAACCATAGTGAAAGCTGTGTACCAGCTGAGGAGTGACTCATGTACTGTACACACAGCTAGGGGTGTCAGTGTTGAACCTCCTCATTACAATTTCAACTAAAAAAATAATGAAAACAAGGAACAAGTAATAAATAGGTAAAAAGTAGTGTACTACTAGTAATGAAAAAGCATTTGTCACTGTGATACATTTATAGGAGGTTAAAGCCAAGACCACAAATTGTAATTAATTTAAATTAAAATATTTTACCCACTTTTATTTAATTTCTCAAAGCATTGTTAATGTAATCAAAATTAATATTTTCTAACTAGTACTTAAGCATCCTTTAGACATCAGTGATTAAAGCCCTCTGACTAGCACACAATTAAAAAATTATATTTTTAAATACGTCTTTTCTTACAAAAAAATATGAAATAGGCAATGGTATTTTAATTACATTTCATTTTGCATCTAATGAGCTCTTTGAACCTTTTCAATAGAACTGAAACAGCACTTGTTAAGGTAGTTAATGATTTGCTAATGGCTTTTGACAGTGGGTCAGTATTATCTTATTCCTTATCTGGAATTCAGTGCAATTTTTGATACAATCTATAATGACATCTTACTGGTTCACATGGAAAATTATTGCGGGATCATTACAACATCCCTTTATTGGTTTGGTTACTATTTGACTTCCGGGAGACAATTTGTAAATCTTGTGCAATGGGAGTCGGTCCAGGCTCCCGCAAAGCGTAGTTCAGGACCCTATGTAAATGGTATTATCCGGAAGTAAGTGGAGAAGGAGATGAAGTTGATCAGGATGGGTTGACAGACAGGGGGACGTAACTACAGTGATCTGGTGCTCGGGGAACGTGGCAATGGCAAACAAGTTCAGGCAGTCCAAAAGGGGGAATCCAGGGTGCACTCCAAAGTCCAAAACCGGAGGATCCAACCAAAATGAAACAAACACAGTTAAAATCCGGAACAGGATCTGGAACAGGGACAGGGAATTAAACGAAGGTGACGAGAAGGTGACGAGACCAGGCGCTCTGAGCCCCGAACTCAGATGTTCAGGACACCATGATAAAGCCTATGCTGTGAGGTAGGCGGACTTCCAGGCGTCTATCTCCCAATGATGAGCCTGGAATAGAGAGAGCACCAGGCTTAAACAGTGGGACAAAACAAGAGGCAGGTGCACATAATCAACTAAAATACTAAAGGGCCCTTTAAGAGGAAGGATGCCAATCATTACATCCTGGCTGATAAAATCTGGTGTTGTCCCACAATTTGCTTCTTGACCAGGTATGAACGCTAAAAAGGAATGTTTTTAAAGGTGCCTACCTGATATGAAGACATGGATGCAAGACTTAAATTATGGCAAGACTTATGGGATTCTAACATCAAGATTAGTAAAGCTGGAGTTTTCAGTGCTGTTGTACACAGTCCTGGAATCAAACCCTAAATGACAGTTAGAAACATTGGTGTTTCTTTTGATTCTGCATTGTAAGTTAAAGGACATGTTGAGAACTTCACAGAACTTCACTTCTCAACCTGTTTAAAATTGCTCAGTTAAGATCTTAACTCTGCCTTTCTGGAGCTGAAATATTGATACTGCACATGTTTTAACTTTCCCAAAGTTAAACTACTGGAATATTAGGGTATTTCCAAAGCTTCTGTATTAATTCAAGATCTTTACTTTTGCATGTAACTCTTGTCTTCTACAAATCACAATGGCTGTTAGTGAAATTTATAATAGACTTTAAGAATCTCAATGTCCTACTTATGTACAGTGTGAGACACTGAATAGTCTAGTTCCTAGTTATATTAAATACTTATTGCATAACTACTGTATAGTTCTCTTTTTATTTGAGATCTGCTTATTTAGGCTTTTCCTACTTTGGCAAAGGCAAATGAGAAATAGTCTTTTCCTGTGTAGAACCCTGTCTGTGGAATTAATTTCCCAAATCCATTAGTTTCCTTCAACATTTTTGGATTGCTTTTTGTATTGGTTTTTGCTTCTTGTGTATTGCATGTGTTTTTGTACTAGATTTGAGTTTAAATTATATTAATATTTAATTGTGTCTCCAAGACTTTTCTGTATTACAGTACATGCCTAATGTTGTCTGTATTTCAGGTCTTCACCTTTCATCATTAAACCAGGCCAGGAGAAGTTCAACGTATCAATAACAATCAAAAACAATAAAGATAGTGCATACAATACCAGAATTACAATCAGTTATTCCAAAAATATCAATTTTGTTAGAACAGAGGTAAATGTTTTATGTACACTACTCTCTCATTTAAATTGATTCAAATTTGTATTATTTTGTTCTTTTATCAGTTAATTTTAGAGTATTTGATTTTATTCCAAAGGTACTTCTACAGTACTTCTATCCTACTACAGTACATTAATAATATTTTCAAATAGAATCTGTTTCACATTACAATCTTTTCTGTTCTTAAATCAATGGATAAATCTGTGCTGTAGGTAAAGAACCTTAATTTCTGTCATTGTCACTGAATCTTTACAAAATAAGTTTAAAACTTGTCATCTGAAAAAACTAAGGCAATATATTTTGAAGATACAGTGAATGCAAATACTTTGCATGTGTAATCATAGTTCAGTATATTTTGCTGTTTTTCAAAGTCATAGAGTAAAATTGTATTTCATTATCTCGAATTCTATACTGTACTTACTGTATACTTACTAACTACTGAAGAATGTTTTCCTCAGTGAAATAATTTTTTAAAAGGCACACGTTTTTAATTTCATTTCAGCCAAGAGAAAAAGACTGCGAGTCTAATCATAATATCACCTGTGCTGTTGGATATCCCTTTCTAAGAAAAGGAGAAATGGTGAGGAAAGACCTTTGGAAATAATACTTGGATTTAAACAGGAAGATGTTACATTTAAGACTTATGAATAATGGTTTATGATATCTCTTAGATCCTGTTGCCCAATTTGTCTCCATCCTTGTGATCCAGTCTTTTTCTTTATTTATAGTAGACATCTACACACCTGGTTTGGAGTGTCCCAATCCAATTAAATGGGTGATTTGTTATATCATTTAGAGATTACATTGAATATAAATTATAATTTTCTTTCATCCCTAAAGGAGCAGAACTATCCTAGCTGAATACACTAAACAATAACATTTAAATATTCCTAATCTTCACAAAATGTGTCAATACAGTAGAGTGACCTACTGTAGAAGACTAATTGGAATGATGCTCTCCTAGACCAGGGTTGGAGGCTCCTAATTTATATCACAGTTATTTTATTATTTCAATTTGAAAAATCACAGGTAGAACATTTTAATATTGTTTTCCAATATAGTTAACCCGTCTTTGTTTTTTTTTCTTCACACAGGATACTTTTGATGTTGTATTTCAAATCAATACTTCACATCTACTGCCTAATATTATCATTAATGTTTCTGCAACCAGGTATAGCTTTCTATCTTAATATGGGCATTTTATCACTTACTGTATATCAGCAGATAAAAAGATATGTGCTTTTGATTGAATTGTAGCTGTACATTTGTGTTATTTCCCAACTTAAAATAATTTTAAAGGCAACAAAAAGTATCCCACGAGCGTAACAAGTAACAGATTGGCGGGATTTATGTTTGTCTTTTTCTCATGCCTGCAAGATACTTGTTCAAGAAACAAGAGAAAGAATTTTTAATTTCAAATCTATTCCTGTATCAGATGAGTTGAGGTATGTGACATAATCATAATTAACTGGTGCACATACTGTACTGTACACGGCAAATATCAAAGGTATCTTTCAAACATTAATTAAGACTGATGCATTGAAGTACTTTTGACTGGATAAACTTCTCATCTTTATCCTTTTTGTGAAAGAAAAAGCTTTCATTAGTTTTAAATATTTAAAAAAAACAGAACAATATAAGTATTAAACTGTATAGGAACTTATCACTTTCCAGTTGATTGAAAACAAATGCTTGTATGTACAGTACATTATTCACTGATTCTAATAGCCTTTTCATTCCAAAATTGTACTAATAAATAAAAGTGTGGCTATAATATGACGTGGTTATAATTTTTGTATTGCAGTGATAGTGAAGAGCCTGAGTCAACACTTTTTGACAACTACAATACTATAATAATTCCAGTGAACTATGAAGCAAGTCTTCAGTTTTTAAGGTGAGCATTGCAAGATCCCACAATAGATACATTTTCTTTAATCATGACCAGTGACCAGTAAAAAGGCACTAAGTCAAACCATGCTGCAGTAGAAACACAAACACAAGATAAAGAGCCTTTATATTCAAGAAAAGAAGTGGGAACATTTCTAAATGTTCAAAATAATTATAAGTTAAATAATATTTTTCTAAAATACTTTTGCTTAACACATTTTTGCAAAGTATGGCTATTAAACGCAAATTTGTTTTTCAGAAAACCTTTTTAAATACCATGCAATCATGCTGCCTGTACAGTGGAAATTTGATGTGTTATAAGTATAATCTTATTGACAATGCAGTTCCAATATCTGTACTCCATATTGAAAGAAGTGGAGTCCTAAGTACTAAGACTATTTAGCTTCTTTTTGACTACAGGATACATAGGAATGCAGAAACCTTGTTAGTGGAGGAGTACTTTGTGAACATGCTGCCATAAGGTGGTGGAGGGCTGAACGTCACCCACAGAGTTCAGCCACTGACATAAAACTACAGTATATAATTATTTATGTCACAATTTACTGGCAACACTGTGTTAAGAAATAATATTTTGTTTCAGAATTAAGGGAAAAGTTAATTACTCAAAATGCTACATTGAATTATTTTTCTCAACAGTCAATTATTTTTGGTATTATACAGATTTTAAAATTATTTGAATGCAGTATCTATCATTAGTACACTAATCTGTGAAAGATATATAACTCTACAGTATTTTTGTATCACAAAAGTGAATATGGTCTGTTATTTACATGGTTTATAATATAAATATACCATTTATTACTATATGTATTTATATTTTATCCTAAGTTATTACTATTCTAATTCTATTTAATTCATATTGCAATTGATAAGTACTATTTTAATTACAGTTCCATCAGAGAATTTCACTTCTATATAAAACAAGGAGATACTTTTCCAAGTGTTCTTAATAGCACTGACATGATTGGAGATGAAGTGAATATCAGCTACATGGTAAGAAAGCTTCATACAGTCTTATGGTATTTGAAATGTTAAATCCATCTGAAACTTTGTTTCTTGAAGTGAATGGCAGGCATCTGATTTATCTGCCCATCCCCCCATTAACTGTGTAAACCACATTTTCCTTAAGACACTTTGAAGTCACAACAGTAAATGTATGATGCTATGATTTTGTAATGGTGTGGAGCCCTGGTTGAATTCCAGACCTGGGTTGCTATGTGGATGGAGTTTGTACATTCTGTCCAGGTGCTCTAGTTTCCTCCCATTGTCCAAAAACATGCAGGTGGGTTAATTGGTTTCTGGGAAAACTAGCTTTGGTGGGAGTGTATGCTTGTCTCTGTCTCTGCAAATTGACTGCCGTCCCATGCAGGGTATACCCTGCTGTACACCTGTTGATTCACATGATAGCTTCTGGCTCCCCAGTCACCCTGTTCTAAATTAGCAGTTAGAAAATAGATGGATGGATTGTATAGTGCAAAAATGAGGAATATATGAGAGGTCAATGGCCTGACTAATAACAGCATATTAAGAAACGAAACAAATGGTAATGCAAGTAACAGTCTCCAAACACCAAGCCTGTATAACCTTTTACATGTGAAATTTTCTTTAGGCAATGCCATGTTCATATTAACAATCAAATACCAACAGATTATAGAATGTCAGCAGCCACGGGGGTTATTGTCACAGGGTGTCATGCATCAGCATTCATTCATCACAATGCAAACACAGCAGGTATTTGGCCACCCATAGTTTCATGCTTCCTGCAATCTGGTATAACACTAAGAAAGAAAACAGGTCTTTTTACAACTGTTAAAATTCACTCAACTAGCCTCATAACCATAACTGTTCATATGAGAAAGAGGGAGCAAAAGAATTCCAATAATTAAGCAGGGAACCCATCTGAGCTGTTTAAAAAGAATATCCCTAGGGATTCACTTAAAATAAACAAATCAAATCTGACCTGCATGTGAGGTACAGTAGCTAAACCATGCTGGTTAACCCACTTGTCTTTTCATTAGTAGATTTTAATGACCTACTGTAGATAATAAACCATCTTATCTTTAACCCTGCTGATTTGTTAAGTTTAAGGTTTTTTTGTTAATTTCATCAAATAGTTCACCAAATTGACTTCTTTAGGTTTTTTTTACGTTACTGAAAGAGCAGTGCTTGTAGTGGGGGTGGTGTATGTAAACATAATAGAGTTTATTACAAAAATTTGGAAGGGATGACAACAGCAAGGTTCAGTCAGCATAATCAGTAATTTATAATTAACCCTGACATCATTTCCCCACTTAAACATTATAAATATCATATGTAATCCCCTTCTCTCCTTTGCATACATGCCTGAAAGTTAGCCCTCAGCCAAATGGGTAAAGCCAAATTATTTAACTTAAAATACTCAAACAAATGTTAATATGTTAATATGGCAGATTCTTGGCTGATGTCATTCCTAGTAAATGAAGATTTACTGTCAAGTACTGAAGTTTCATCTTTTCTATTAGCCTTCTTCAATGAACAACATCTAAACCAATATGTCTTCTCAGAATGGTAATTGGAATGCAGATACTGTATACTTTCTACAGAATCTTGTCTTACATTTGAATCCCTATTTAATTTTATCCTTACATTGTTGTGTGTGGGAAAGTATATCGTTGTATATTTACAATGTATGATCTTGTTGCCATTTAACATTCTGTACCATTTAGTCAATACAAATCAATAAGATAAAATATTAACGCTATTTTCTGACTGCATCCATTACATCTAGAGAGCAATGCAGTTAAATTAGCAAAGCCCAGGTCCAATTGGGAAGGTTGTTTTGAGTGTTTTCTGTGACTACCACTAATAAGACGTCTGCTGTTAAGACATGGGATAGGTTCTGTGAGCCAAAGATGAAACCACATATACTATAGCCTACTATAATACTATATACAGATCTGGCCATTTAGAATGTGCGAAGGATACTGCAGTAGTTCGCAGTTCAGGGCCTGCAGGGCACTGCAGCCTTTTAGAAATTTTCAGTTTTGATACTGCACTACTGTATTTTGTAAAACCGATTGGTAGGAGCAGTGAAAGCTTAAGGTGGTGTGTGGAGTATGTGGGCTGTCACCAGAAAACGCCTGGTTTCAACTCCTGGTCAATGCTGAGGGACAATCTTTTTCCAATTATAGAATTTGAGTTGTATTACTGTTTTATTAATTTTAAACTGTGTATCACGGCATGTTAAATATTAAACCAATTAAAAATTAGGTAGATTTTTTTTTTAAATAGCAAGATTGCTCATTTGGATATACAAGAAAGAGTATATTATTTTACTGTAGCTTGTGAATGTGATGTGCCTCTTTCAAGTTTACATTCACATACTGTAGAGAAAATCCAAAGGTAAATTTTGGTAGCAGAAAATGTAAACAGTAGTATAATGTAATACATACCTAATGTACAGAAAGCAGATGATAATGACAGCTAAATATGAAAACATCCACAACAGTATTCCACTCTCTTCATAAAACTTTAACTTGGTGACGTACAGTGGGTAATGTTTTTAACGTGCTTGTTCTGACTTTTTAAAGTTTATATTGTAGTGCATTCACCTGACAGTACTTCATAAAAAGTTACTTTATAATGTTTTATCCTTTTCTAAGAATATATAGTAAGAACACCACTTGCTGTTATTGAAAAAAGCTGTACTGATTTAATACCACTTGATAGTAATATTAATATGGAATTGTGTAACTAAGCAGCTAAAATATCACAAGTGAATGTTTTGAAAACATTTTGACATTCTTTTTTTTGTAAAAAGATGGACAATGGAACACTCATGGACTGTAATGTAGTGCGCTGCACCCAGGCGGTTCAAAACTCAATCAGAGCATTACTTTGGTTTCTTTTTTGTAATAGGGTTATTACACGATGTGCTTTCAGGTTTACATCCCAGTTCAGAAAATCTATATTTTCTCTTAATCCAAATTTCAGCAACCAGTAATCGGCCAACAATTTAACTTTAAATTTAAAACTTTAAACCACATACCGTAATGTACAGTGCAGCACAGTCCAAAAACTTACTGGGAGGTTGTTTCTGTCAAAATTGGCGTGAGTCTGTGTATCTAGATGAATTATGATGGTTTCGTGATTAATGATTTCTTCGCGGAATTCTTTAAGTTAAACAAAGGAGGGAAGAAGGGTTATTTTTACAATTGCCAGTAACCGGAGAAATGCTTATTAATATGTTGAAACATACCATGGCAGTGAAGACAGATGTGTTACACCTTTAACTTCAAGTTTAAGTGAGCCAGCGAATCACTCTGTTGTTTACTAATGTTCACCGTCTAGATGCTGACATTCTTGTTACGCGAAATAAATAAATCATACAATAGTTAAATTAATTGGGCGCTTTGTTTTATTAACAGACACTCTGACTCAAACCTGTGTCATACAGCGATATAGATGAGGGTAATGTCACCCCCATTAAACAATGTGCTTTTTGCACAAATCCTGCTAAACTACAAGAGTTGCAGAAGGTGATGTACATTATTTACTGGAGCGTGGTTTAGTTCAAAGAAGAAAGTCCGTGGAGTTCCCCCTGTTAGTATAGTATAGTAACACATATGGCCACCATTGCAGGTTGTTCGAGCCGGCTTACCAGCGATGTGACATCACCACCCTTCCCTGTGAATAGCAGGGACCGCAGCCATCAGGCTGATGGGAGATTTCCCTTTAGCTCAAGTGGGGGTACCCTGTTGAATAACCCCGGAGGCCCGGGTTCGAGTCCCCGACGTTGGGGGGCTGACCTGAGGCGGCAGAGGCGAGGGTGCATACCCACGTGAACCCCGGAGCGCTACATTGGTGTCAGAAGCTGGGTGGGATGGCCCTTTGCCAAGGACGGCGATTAAGCGCGGGAAAGTGTAACGCATACGGCCACCATTGCAGGTTGTGCGAGCTGGCTTACCAGTGCGGTGACGTCACCGCCCTTCCCTGTGAATAGCAGGTACCGCAGCCATTGGGCTGATGGGAGATTTCCCTTTAGCTCAAGTGGCTGGGTCCCTGTTGAGTAATGCTGGAAGCCCGGTATTTTAATTGACATTTACATTACAACTCCCCATTTACAGAATGCCTATTTATTTTACTATAATATAATGTTTTGGTAAAAAAATTTGAATGCCAAACTTCCTTTCCAGTATTGTTTCAAAATAATAACGACTTTTTCCATTAGTGAAAAATTATTAGGTTACTGTTTTTTGCTTTTCATTCAACAGATCCACAAAGAACCAAACTTGCCAATACCTTCTCTTAAAATGAATGTCACTTTTCCTTCTGAGTCTCTACACGAAAACATCCTACTGTATATGACACGTGTGGAAACTTCAGAGGTGAGTCTGAATATACATATATATTCTATTTATTCTAAATCATATCATTTACATTTTAAATAAAATATTTAGATTGATATGGAAGACATTACATTTTGTGGTTGAAATAAGCTTAGGTTTTAAAATGTTGTTATTCTATCATTTAACACACAAGTTAAAAATCACAATTTCCTTAACCGTATATGTTAAAATCGAAAATGGAGCTGTAAACCCCTTTCTCATGCTTAAAAGATGTATGAAGTGGGCCTCTTGAGTTCCTTCATTGGTACGTGGCGCACACTTGAGCACAGGTTGAGCTCTATCTGATCTTGGGTCACATCTTTAACTGACCATGAGCAGCGACGCACATCTGGCTGAGTGCCTTCAAGGGTGGGGTGGGATTACTTAGCCAGAGAAGTCCCTGCAGCCCACCAGGCCCCTGCTGGGTTGTTTTTTTCTGTAAGGGGTGTGCAGCTACAGTATACAGACATTGTTTCTAGCAGCTTCATACCATAGTTAATCAGAAATAACAGATGACCAACTTCCTCTCCCCAGCAGCCCAGGGATATTGTTGTGTCCATGTATTTCCTGCCAGCATACAGGAAACAAATGTCTGTACTCAGGAATAAAGTAATTAAGAGTGTCTGTAAAATGAAAATTTTGATGTTAAGGCAATAATTATATGATACCTTTCCTAGACTTAACTTGTAATACAACTCCATCCAAAATAAAATTTAAAGAAGTCTGTCTTTTAGATCCATAGTATCCTCAATAAAGTAGTTCATGTGGAAGATATTCATTCACATAATTTAATATGTTATTGATTTTTTTACACAATACATTGTCAGATACAGTGTTAATACTGTAATTTGATGTGTATTTTTTTTTACATTAAGCAACAGTTTTATTTTAAACTACATATTATACTACAGTATTTACTATATTTGTCAGTTTCTTTCCGTAAGCTACAATTTGTATATTCTGATATGGATTAATGGGTTTCATAACTAGCATGTTTTTCAAAACAACCGTTTTAGATTGTTAGTTTTTAAAAATAAACATATTTATTGTTTAGAAGTTTTCAGGCTGTTTTACTCAGTAACAGAAGCTGATCTGTAAATGAAACCAACTGTTATGTGTAACTTGATTAAAACATTAAAAAAAACTTGCCCCACTTTACATTTTGCTCCACTTTTTTTCTTTCCAAATATAACTAATTATTCAAAATGCTCATATTATGGTTTAAGTTAAATATTAGTGTTTTCCACAAGCACTGTATATTGTCTTTAGCTTCAGTAGTACTGTACCTTCATATATTTAGGTGCATACTGTAGATTAGGTACCTTCTCTGGAGCAAAATGCATTGTAAAATCTCCCATAAGGATTTACACATTGTATTTGTCTTGGTGATAAGATATACAGTACACTGCTTCACACTGAGTACAGCATCTCAACTATATAGGGAAAATAACTAATAACAGGCACAACAGATATAGCATGGAAAAACAGCATGACCCATTTTCATTTAGCTTGTATAATGAAGTTCTTTCATTTTTCAGAATGTGAAATGCAAAGATGTAAATTTGGTGAACCCATTGCATATTGGCTCAGAAAGACATTATACCCCTTCCCCTTACAAAGAAACTCTCAGCAGCTATGTTGTGGTAAGCCATAGTTTGTTTTTAACTTAAGAGCTGTTCTGTATTTGTAAAGTGTAGGTTTATTTGATAGTTTATACTACATGCAGTAGATCTTAAATGTATTCAATATCTATACAACAGTAAATTAAATATTTTTTGTGTTATATTAGGATTTTTTTTAATCCTGTCTTTTCTTCATTTTGTCTTCTTACAGGATTGTCAGTCTTTAAAATGTGCATCATTGTTATGTGATATAATCCCTGCAACTTCAACTCATGTGAACATCACACTGCGTGTCTGGAAGCCCACATTTGTTAAAGTAAATTTGATCTGAATAATTTATTTCACTTTGAACTAAATCAGTGTAGTGCAATATAATTACAGTGTGTGGTTTTCTTTGCTTCTTGTAGGCTGAATTCACTGATCTACAATTGCTTGTCCATGCTTTATTGAAACCTCGGGACACATCAATCACCATTCTGAACAAAGACAGTGTGAGCAGAATAGTAAGTATGCTTCAAAACAGTAGTTTTAATTCTAAACATTGTTTACCTAATGTCCAAAAATGTTGTTATATGCACTCACTTAGCTTTTTTGGTGACCTTCATAAATATATAAACATTTAGGAAATTGAATATCAAAATCAAAGCTTTTGGTCAGATTTCCTTTCTGGTAATACTTGTTTTTGCTGTACTACGCCTTTAGCAAAGGTAAAACAGAAATATCTAGAAGTCAACAAAACCCAAGCAGCAAATGACATGTGCTGTACATTAGATATTCAATATGCTGAAACCTTTTATCCTGAGATTCAAAAATAGAGTAGTAGTCTAATGAAACTAAATAAATGAAGTTTATTTAGTTTTATTACATGCATAAAACCCATGAACAACAGGCGCCTCTCTATGTAGCTTTTATTGATCTATTGATCTATAAAAGACCTTTGACATGATTTGTAGAAAATTGGCTGTTTTCAAAATGTGTTTCAACAGTCTCCAGGTGCAGGGATTAAGTAGCTTCCATATTCACTTGCAAGCTTCATTCACAAGCTGCACTTGTATGACCCATGGAGCTCATGCCTCAAGATCAGTTGTGTTCTGTAAAGGCTGTGTTCGAGGACTAACTCAATAATGGGCTGTAATGCATAGGAGTAGGGTTAGGCTTAGTTCATAGCTCTTAACAGTGACAAAGTCAAACAAGAAAGTAGGAAAATCATTATTCCCACAGACAATTCCACAGTCAAAAAGAGAACTTTGTCCATACCTACTCAGTATATAAAAGTCAGGTCAAGACAGCTGCACTCACTATGGACAGCCATTAGAGAGTAAGGCTGAAGCCAGCAGGCAAGCCAGGAAGTAGAGTGTGTTCCAGCCTTCAGCCACTGTGTTCAATCCTTCTGTAGCCACTGCAGAAGGATTTGTCAGTCATGCATTGGATCTACTGTATCTATACACAATTACCAAACACCACTGATTGACAGACTAATTTTAACCTTTAACCTATTATGATGTTGTATAGCCATGCTAAATACAGTGAATAGCTATGAGGAACATCTTTTTTCTTTATCTGCTTTGTAGTCTTCCAATTTAGCAATGGTGTTCCATTTCACGATGTCACAGTTTTTAAAGGAATTTGTTTCTTTCTCTGGTCTTCTTTCAACTAGCTGTTCATATAAAAAGTGAATATGTGAGCATTCATACTGTATACCCTTCTTGTTCTTTTGTTCTGTAGTGATGCCTAATGTTGTCTGAAGCCTGTACCTTTTTAAAAACATTCCAATGGGAGTCATGTTAGCCATGTGAATGCCTCATTAATGAATATAAGGAATGCAGAAACCCTCAAAGGAAAATAACTTTTTTAATTAATTTAAGGCCTGAGGATCTTTACAATGAAAGACATTCACAGAAATCTTTGCTCCTGGGGTGTTCAGGGAGATACCTTTTTTCAGAATTAAATAGAAACAATGATAGAAATCATGTTATTATGTATAAAAATGTCTACTTTTAACATTTCCTTAAAACCGTTTTGTTTTTTAATTTTAGGTAACAGTAAAGATATCAAAAGAATCTTTAGGTGGAATACCGCTCTGGCTTATAATACTGAGTATTCTCATAGGATTGCTGATATTGGCCCTTGTAATTTTTGCATTGTGGAAGGTCAGTATAAATCAAATCATACCTTTGCTTCTAAATAAGCTTATTGCAGCTGCTTTATTTTAGGAATATTAATTTTTCAAATAGTTTAGTTTTAATACATGGCAGTTGTAGAATTACATTTCATATTCTAGGTCCCTTTAGATGAGGGACTGGTGTCTCATGAAAAGTTGTGGTGCCAGCTGGTCCTGTCAATGGTAGGATTATTGTTGACCAAATGTCACAAGCTTTAAATGCAATAGAACGGTGGAATAATGAAATAAAACAGCAATAAAGACAGATCTTATCTATATAGTATCATATATTTCATGAGAAACAGCAGGTGATCTATATATTTATTCCCACTAAGCATATTTTGCATTTTTTTCTTATTTGAAACCTTCTCTTTTTCTCGACAGGCTGGATTTTTCAATAGACCACTAAAGGAAGCAACAAAAGAAGACATGAATTGAAAACAAATCAAATGTATTTACAATCTACTTCCTCAGGTCTGATTTACTTGCAACACCACTTGATACAGTAACTGCATTTGATCAACCAGCCAAAATTTTATAAATATTTTCTATATTTTACTTGCTGGTAATTAAGAATGCTGTATCATTGTGAGGATATCGCAAATGCTAACAAGTTTGCATAGTTTGAGAAATTATCAGAAAGCATGATGTTTGGTCTTTTCCATATCAAACTTTTGTGCCTCTACTTAATGTAAAAAAATGAATTCAGAAAAATGAATTTTAGATTAATTAAAAGTTTAGGGTATGAACATGGTATCCTTCTCACGTGTGCTGTGCTAATTTAGTCAAATGCTTTCAAATGAGTTAATTATATTTCTGTGCTTCTGAAGCAAAACTGTTACATTATTCAACATATAAGTGAAGAGTAGTATGTTTAAATACAGGATCTGGCATAATTTAAAAAGAAATCTGTTTTGTAAATGTAAATATAAGATCACTTTATGTCACGACCACCAACCTGCCCAGACCAGCCCCCAAGAGAACTAATCAGTACCAGCTGCAGAGCGATAATTACAAGCGCCGCCGCACTTGTTAACTCAACATCAGACACCCTACCGTGTGGGAGGCTGCACTATTTAAGCCTCTCCAACCCACATTTTGTTGCTCAGTATTGAGTAAACTCTTTGAGAGCTCTACCAAGCGATTTCTATACCCTGTGACTACCTGGATATTCGACTACCCTTTCGCCTTCAGACTTCGGATCTCGCCTTGCTACTCGGATTGTTTGCCACTTGTGTCTTTGCTGGATTTCTACTGTACCTTCTTTCCTCCCTTCGACCACGATATCGCCTCTCGAATTGGATTGTTTGCCACCTGTGTTTGCCCTGGTTTTCGACCTTCCTTTCTCCCTCTGACCACGAACTCATTCCTTGTATCAGATTGTTTGTTGCCGTGCCTCCCACCTACACCTGCGTCTGCACAGGACCCTTATCTCCTCTTCAGAGTATCCTTATATTTTATTAGCCATATACAATTTCTTGTATTAGGAATTTGTATCTTCACAAACCCCAGCTTGCTCTCCATGAGACACACAGACAGGAAGAGAAGCTTGGGGTCAGATCACAGGGTCAGCCATTTATACAGCACCCCTGGAGAAGTTGGGGTTAAGGGCCTTGCTCAGGGGCCCAACAGACTAGGATTCCTCTTCTGGCCGTGAGATTTGAACCGGCAACCTTTCAGCTACAGGCGCAGATCCTTAGCCACAAAGCCACCGCCCCCAATATAATTCCAATTATTTCAGAAATAAATTTAATTTCTTTTTATTTATCAATTTTTACATCAGAATTTAGGATCAAAAGTAAGCTTTAAAAAAACAGAGATCATGTCTTTTTATTATATTTTTATATAGTCTTTTTATTGTACTGTATGTCTGTTGATTAAGTTTCTTATGTAAAACCAGACCACAGCACATGTAGAGTGACATCTTTTGTTACACTAAAATGCATTTTTTAAACATTCAGAGAAAAAAAATAATACATTTGTTTGAAGGAACAGGAAAGTATGATTTCCCATGATCCTACTCAAAATACTGTATATGTAGTTCAAAATGCAACAGCAGTTAATTTTCACAAAGCCTGTGTAATTTGCTAGTCTACACAGAAAATCGAGTTCTTCGTCTATTTAGACGTCTATTGCAGTCAGATAAGTGTTCAATAATCTGTCTTTGGAAAGCTGATGATAACTGAGTTTATTCAAATTGGTGGGTCAAAAAGCAGCTACAAATTCATCAGGTTCATTCATACTACAAGTAAAGTTACAAAGGAGAGGAGGGCATTCAGTCCATCTTCAGTATTATATTACAATAGTTACAATGAGGGAGAATTGCATTCAAAGTATTTCAAAATATTATTTCGGTCACTCGCTACATAGTCTTTTTTACACACAAAAATAAATAGCTATATGAGGTCTTCTAAGCTACCAGTGATCTAAAGAGTATGATGGTCATTTGTCCTCCTCGCCTTTGTGACCTTATGTTCTTAGTCTATTCAATGCCTCCACAGGTGTACACAATTCCCATTAGTTCTATATCAATGCTTCAGATAATTAAGTCACCTCTAGCTGTATGTGTCTTCTTTACTGTATTACAGAATAAGAGACAGAAAGCTATGCCTTATGCCATACAGTGTGTGTTTCTGTCCATCATCATAAATTCCTACAGTATGTACCTACCTTACAATGGGCTCAGGGCACTTCTGAAAATGTATTTACATAAAACACCATTTATAACCTTTTTTGAAGATATGAGTCAACTTTTATTCAAGAAACACGTTAAGCCTTTTCTGGAAGGATCCAAGTGAATCAGCTTAAACAGCATGGGTGTAGAACATAAAGAGTGAAAAAGATTTGTAGCGAGATTTAGGACTGTTTGGTGAAAACTGAACACTATCAGGTGCTTCTAGTGCAATGTAAAATATGCCATTGTGTGTGTTGATATAATACCAATTTGATTCAAGTTAGCAGACTAGATTGTGTGCTTCTGATCATTGACTTATAAACCTGCATCCACCATTTTGTGTGTAATGGTAATGCTTGATACTTTACTGTACTTACTATACAGTTTCTTCAATTTCACAAAGATTTCCACTCTCTAAACCTATCTCACACAATACAATCCTTTCTCTCCTACATTATGCTTAACAATAGATAAAATGCATGATACGTAGTTGTCACCTTATTTTGCTCATGAACATTGGCATGTGCTTCAGTCACAGGCAATATTTAACTCATCAGACCACTGGATTTTGTCAAAGAATTTTCAGACTTTTTTACTGGTACACTAGCAGACTGCACACACAGTACTTAGCTACGGAAGTGTACTGTATTTTCTTAAAAAGAGATTTGCAGTTTTGCCTGTCTGCATTCACAGATATCCTGTATGTTCCATGCAGACAGACTGTAGATTTTGAAGGCTTTCAAAAATTGTAGTCCTGCTTAGAAATTATATTTTACTTGGTCTCCTGGATCCAGGTGTACATTTATGCTTATTGACCACTTCAGTTTAAATTTAGTTTTTTGTATTATGATATTTCAGATTTCAGTGTGTATGTAAATTCAGTATACCAAAAAAATCTAAAACTTCGCATTTGCAGTTTCCTCCTACTTGTGAAATAGAAGTATTGGTTTTGCTGTTGATTACTTTCCTGGTGTTTATGTAGGTAAACTGTTTAACTTTTTCATAATTTAATTTTTTAATGTTTTTACTTACATTAAATAGCATATTCTGTATTCTACCGAAACATACAGGAAATACACTTTATTATAAATTAAACTAAATGCTGTTAAATTCATACTTTAACAATGCACATGAGTTTATTTTTAACAGTAATTGAATGGAATATCAAAATAGAAAATTAACATGCAATTAATTAATTGTTTTACATTCTTCAAAATAGTAATAGAAAGAGAAATAGAATGTACTTTCATTCATGTTTTGGCTAAAGTCTTTCTGATGGTCTTACTTTGATGCCTGATTTGTAAATTCTATGATGTCCCAAGTCCAACAGTCATAAAAAGAGCATTTGTTTAGCACATTTTAGCAGTTCTGATGTTTAAAACATGTAAATAGTGCTAATAGTCTTATTCCACAATGTGGTATTTTGTATTCTGAATGAACAGAAAACAATTGGTACTTCTTTTTCATTATACAATTTTCTTACATGTCATCATGTGAAATTAATACATTAGGCTTATCAGTTTTTGTAAAATACATGCCTGCAGTACAGTGGATAATTTTGTAATGTGATTATTGATTGTCAAGCCATTTATTCTGTACAGTTTTTGATGGTTTTTATGATTCTAATTATTTTTCCTTTGACACAAATTCTGTACATATTTGTCCAATGTTCCAATGTTTTATGGTATTTTTACACTCAGTTGTTGGATTGGTGTGTTCTTTTTCCATTGCGTGGAATATGATTGTATTGAGAGTTTTGATAAAATGTTAATGATTTTGCACAAGTACGTTTTATAGTCTTCAAGGAAAAGAATATCATCACCACTGTTGCAAACATATGTAAACTTATAACAGCTATTATATATGTTGTAGTTCAGGTGGGTAGCTGCGTCAGGCTGCAAAGGAACAAGTAATAGGTTTATTCCATGCTGGAAAAAAAGAAGAAAGAAAGCACAACGTTTCAGCCGTGGAGCCTTCTTCAGGTGTTATTCAGTTTTCTTATGTCATCATCATGTGAAATTAATACATTAGGCTTTCCTACCTTAAGAAGGCTCCATGGCCAAAACGTTGTGTTTTCTTTCTTCTTTTTTTCAGCATGGAATAAACGTATTACTTGTTCCATTATAAATGTTGTGTGGAAATGATGTAAGTTGATCCTTGTTTGACACTATGAATCCAGGGGATGTTTATAATGAAAATATTAAACTATTGGTCATCTGCACTGTGTATCTGTTTTCAAATATAATGCACTGGTTTAACTTATGTACCTTCTACAGCACAGAAAAAATGTTATCACTGTAATTCTGTGAAAATGTTTTAATAAAAACACAAAAAAATACTGTATTTGTTTCTTACTATTTCTGTTTTCTACAAAGTAATACATTTGTCTTTTCAGTTTTTAATCGGTAAATGAATGTAGTGTTCCATCAAAGATTTTTTTATATTTAATGCCATAGTGCACTGCTATAGAGTTTAAATCAATAACATGTGGGACATTTGTGTTCCATTGATTCATTAAAAGAAAGGTTATGTAGACATCTTTTAAAACAGTATTTCGAAATCTGAAAAAAAATGTAATTTCACTAACAGATTAAGTAACACAAGAATATATATATATACTTTATTACAAAAACAATGTGTATGTGAAACAAAGACCCCAACCATTAAAAGGGGAGGTATCAGAAACAGATGTCAAGTTACAAGAAATAATTGAGGTGAGCTTTGCTTGCAAATGACTAGGCACAATTTTAAAGTGAAGTGAACCAAGCTTAGCCCAAAAAATATTGGTGTCCCTTTAAGTTATGTCATCTGCTATGGATAGCTAATGATTTTATAATCTTCCCATAGTAAGAGCATGATGGTGTTTCCAAAGCTTTATCAAATATGTGTGTAAGCAAGGCTCAGCAAAGCAAATATATGGACCAATCTTTGGTGTTTTAGGGGATTATTGCACAGTGAGATACATGAGATTTAAGACATTTCAGAAAATTGGTGAGAGATGACTGCAGGTCTGAAGAGTCTTGCAAGTCCAGAATTAAACTTTGCTGTGGAAGGTATGATAATGTCTGATCACTTACAGTATTTGAAAACCAAATGTGGTGCGGTGCTACATTTTCAACTTCTGAGAATGAGAGATGGAAGCTTTTCCTGGGAGAAATCCAAACCTAATACAAAAGGGTTATGTTTTATTCAAAATTCGCTTATGAAATTGCTTGATGAATAATTTACCGAATATTGCTTCAGCTCACTTTTGTCAATGGAAACCAAATGCAGTCTACGTTAGCTACAATATGTCACACTGATTATCCCTATTTAAGAGACGGCTGACATCTTCGACTTTATTTACTCAATAATACAATTTGGAAAGTTCCACCTTCCAATCTAGTTCTAGCATAAAATGAAAATATTTCTAACACTAAATTGAATACTGTTATTTCTGTATTACAGTCAAGCAATATGTATTTGTGATCACTATATTAATATGAATGGTAAGTACAATATAATATATATTTTATATTTGGGGTAATTTCATGCATACAGTACATATAATCATTGAACAAAAACCCCCCAAACCCTGTGATTTTAAGTTAACAGAAGTAAAGGGACACATTCCCTTTATGTTAATGTCACAGTCACTATGTATCAGTATATGATTGCATTTCCCTTTAAGGCAATTATTGCTTTTGTTTGTGACTCACTGGATATAATAAACTCTTTCAGTAATCATTTAGAACATTTTACATTCTTGTCTGAGCCAAAGATAACCTGCTGGATTCCAGATACTGATCATTGAATGTCCCTGCTCTATACTCTGTATACCATTTGTAAGTTTTCACCACAGGAGGGAGCACCAGTG